GAATTTGGCGATACGATACATATCATAACAGAGGGGTCACGATACGATATATCCCGATATATTGCAATACTGTAAGCAAGGCAAATATATTGCGATTTTTTTTGTCCAAAAATTCTATTAAATAAAAACCACTTACTGAAAAAAAAATAAGAAAAGCTAATGTTTACTTACGATGCTAATGCTACCCTTACTCTCTGGCGCTCAAGAGGTAGAGGAGCCAAATGGCTGGCTCACTGCTGCCAACAAGTGGTCAGAGACTGAACTACAACATAAAAATGAACGGTTGGCAAGAAGGTTTACATTTTAAACTTTAATTAAAAATCGATACAGGGCTTTAGAATATCGATACAGTATCGGGAAATAAAATATCGCGATATTTCAGTGTATCGATATTTTCTTACACCCCTACTGATAATAGCATATATTATTGACATTATTCTTCACTCAGAATTCAGTTTGAGGTCTTCAATCCATCTGCCAACCCAGATGCCGTAGTCCTGTCTTTATCTGATTTAAAATCTTTAGAGATTTTTACAATTTTTACAAAATAAAATTCTAAACTGTGACCAGTAGTCTTCAAAAAAGGCAGAGTGAACTGTCTTTTACTGTCCCTGTATTCATGCAGTTGTTTTTTTTTTTTTTTCATTTGAATCACAAAATAGAAAAAATGAAAATGTGGATGTTCTCACCACCTAGTGGTTATTATTATTATTATTATTATTATTATTATTATTATTATTATTATTATTATTATTATTATTTGGTAAACCAAAACAGTTAAGACTTTTAAGACAATAGTGTTTGTGTTAAAGTAATTTCCTCTTTCATAAGCCTATTCTTAAGTTTAAAGTCTGTTTCCACACCTAATATGGGTGTCATAGGTCTTAGTGTCAGTGTTAGTTTGGTTTTTGGTCGCCCTTTTAATCTCAAAATAACTAGGTTTCTCATTATTTTGACTTTATTCTTGAAGTAATTTTTCAAATTCTCTTCTCAACAACCTGGCTTGAAGACTGACATAACTTTACTTGAACAGAATGTAAATTCGTTTCTGATGACATTGTAATCTGTGGTGAGAGTAGAGAGCAGGTGGAGGAGAACCTGGAAAGGGGGAGGTTTGCATTGGAGAGAAGAGGAATGAAAGTCAGTAGAGATGACAGAATACCGTACATGTGTGTGAATGAGAGGGAGGCAGGTGGAAAGGTGAAAATGCAAGAAGAGGTCAGAAAGGCGGAAGACTTCAAATATCTGGGGTCAACCATCCAGAGCAATGGACAGTGCAGAAAAGGGGTGAAGAAGAGGGTGCAGGCAGGATGGAGTGGGTGGAGATGAGTGTCGGGGCTGTTGTGTGACAGAAGGATAGCACCAAGAGTGTAGGTAGCCCTGTTGTTTTAGTTCTTTTAGATTTAACTGCTGCCTTTGATACAGTTGATCACAGCATCCTTTTATCCAGACTTGAACATGTTGTTGGTCTTGAAGGCTCAGTTTTAACATGGTTCAGGTCATATTTGGCTGATAGTTCTTTTTCCGTTTCTATGGGGGAATACACTTCTTCATCTACTCTGATTTGCTGTGGTGTACCTCAAAGTTCTATTTTAGGACCTATTCTTTTTTGTTTGTACATGCTGCCATTGGGATCAATTTTTAAACAGCACAAAATATCTTTCCATTTTTATGCTGATGATTTTAGAGTTTATTTTCCTTTGATTCAAATGTCTCTGCCCCTCTGCAGCCCCCTTTAAATTGTCTCCAGGACGTTAAAGACTGGTTATCCCAGAATTGTCTGACTTTAAATGAAGACAAAACTGAAGTTATTTTATTTGGCAATTATCCTCCTCTTGATGGTTTACCTGGTTTTCTTGGCCCACTTGCTCCCTATTGCTCATCTGTGGTCAAGGATCTTGGAGTGTTTTTAGACAGTGCTTTTAAATTTGAGAAACAAATGTCTTCAGTTGTTAAAACCAGTTTTTATCAGCTCCGTCTAATCGCCAAAGCAAAATCTTACATTCCCCACAAAGACCTTGAAACTCGTATCCATGCTTTTATTACATACAGACTGGGCTATTGCAACTCTTTATATGTTGGTTTGGAACAATCGTCTCTCCATCGCTTGCAGTTAGTCCAGAACGCTGCTGTGCGTCTTTTAACAGGAAGGCAGGACCACATCACTCCTGTTTTATCCAACTTGCACTGGCTGCCTGTTCGATTTCGTATTGATTTTAAGATTCTTTTACTTATGTTTGAAGTTTTAAATCGTCTGGCACCCAGTTATTTATTGGCCCTGTTGCACTTCTATACCCCACACAGAGAACTGAGATCTTCTGATCAGATGCTTTTAGTGCAGCCAAAGGCAAAACTAAAGCGTAGAGGGGAACGGGCTTTTGCTGTGACAGCCCCCCAGACTCTGGAACAACTTGCCTCTTGAGATCCGTACTGCAGAGTCTGTTCAGTCTTTTAAATCTGGCTTAAAAACTCACTTTTTTACACTGGCTTTTAATTCAAATTCAGTTTGAACTACCTCAGGAATTTGTAATTTGTGTCTTTTATTTGTTTTTAGCTTATTGTATGTTTTACTGTGTTGTGTCTGTGAAGCACTTTGGTCAACACTGTTGTTTTTAAATGTGCTATATAAATAAAGTGATGATGTTGATGATGATGAAGAGTGAAAGGGGAGGTTTACAAGACCACAGTGAGACCTGCTATGATGTACAGTTTAGAGACAGTGGCACTGTCTAAAAGACAGGAGGCTGAGCTGGAGGTTGCACAGATGAAGATGCTGAGATTTTCATTGGGAGTGACGAGGATGAACAAGATTAGAAATGAGGAGATCAGAGGGACAGTGAAGGTGGATCAATTTAGAGATAAAGCTAGACAAGCCAGGTTGAGATGGTTTGGACGTGTTGAGGAGGGATGGTGGATATATTGGACAAAGGATTTTGGAGATGGAGCTGCCATGCAGAAGGAGAAGAGCAGAGAAGATTCATGGATGTAGTGAAGGAGGACATAGAGATGGTTGGTGTAACAGTAGAGGAGGCAGGGGATAGGATGAGATGGAGGCAGATGATCCGCTGTGGCCATCCCTAAAGGGAGCAGCCGAAAGACAAAGAAGACACAATGGGCCTCATGCAAGAACATGTTCATATTCTTATCTTAAATTTCTCTTACTTTTGTTCGTACAAAGGGTTTGTACGAACATGTCACGTCAGATTCAACAAACTCTTCTATCTTCAGGAAAAGTGTGTAAATGAGCTGCGTAAATTCCACCTGTTCGTATCCAGCTGCTCGTGCACGCGAGAGGAGATTAGCCTAATTACCACCCCAAAAAAACCATATAAGGCTATGTTTCCTGCCTCAGATATCAGGAAGTGTCCATTCATGAAAATGACAGCGAAAATTAAAAAGAAAATCTTTAAGAGTTCAGAGATTGAAGTCCGTCTGTCAGAGATCCAGACAAGAAAATCTGTCATTTTTAGCAGCTCAGCTGTGGAATAAAAASAGCTTCTAAAAGTATAAACAACTGTGTTAAATCATTTTCATTTATTCAGAAGCCACACTGTTGAGCACCGTACCCCCCCCCCCCCCCCCCCCCCACACACACACACACACACCCCACCGGTCTCAAGTGGTCTCAGTTGCGGTTCTGAAATAAACATTTTAAAATGTTTTCAAAATGTGTCTGGCACTTTGGAGAAAATCCAGGAATCGCTGGAGGGATTATGCATCCCCTCTGGCCTGGGAACGTCTCGGAGTCCCCCAGGACGAGCTGGAAGATGTCGCTGGGGAGAGGAAGTCCGGGTCTCTCTCCTGCTGCCCCCCACGACCAGATCCCGCATAAGCGGCAGAAAACGGACGGACGGACAATTTATATTGTTAGTCTAAATTATTACATTTAAAATTATAACTCTAATTCAAGCAGAATAACTTATTGTCAACATAATTATGGAGTGTGATTTATTTTCAACTCAAAATATCTTCAAACTAACAAAATATAAAGTTATTAGGGAGGAAAACCCGCCTGGATAACAGCAGACTGACTGTTCGTAAAATATACGACAGGTCTGGACCACTCGTGAATTTTGTTCGTATCTGAAAAAAATCTTTGAATACGAAAACATTGGTGAATGCCACAAATTCTCCTAAATCACTCGTACGCACAACTTAAGAACAAATCTGTGCGTACGAACGGTTCTTGCATGAGGCCCACTGTTACTAGATAAGGTCATTTTTAGCCCTTTTTATTGTTTTTATTATTTAGAACAAAATGTTTTCTTCCTGATATGTGTCGTTCAACTCCCCTCCCAAGTTCAAAGAGTTCTGACCAGAATTAGAGGCAGAAATTTAAATTTGACTCCTCAGGAGTTGTTTTTCATCTATGATGCTGATAAAGACATCAACACGGGAATGGGAAGATCGTTGTGTTGCTCCTAAATATGAATACAATAAATATGGACAAATGGAAGCTGCACAGCTTATACCTCCAACCCTTTGCAATACCATCAACATGAAAAAAATAACACGAAGGAACGACCAGGATCAGATCCCAGTAAAACCTGGATAGGCACATCTTTAATCATAATCTTCTCAGTGAGTTTGTGGTTACGTCATTGGTTACATTTAATTTCTCAAGGAGAAAGAAATACGAATTCTCTCTAATTTTATTTTATATTATTTTATTAATCCTTCCAAAGTTGTCGTCATTGTGTGACCTTCATTCTGACCTGCTCACAGGGGATGAAGGGAAATGATGTTATGCATATGATTGAAAGTGGAAAACGCATGGACCCCCCAGTGAACTGTCCACCAGAGATGTCGGACATCATGTTAGCGTGCTGGACATACAAGTAAGTGACGTGTCTCAAAATCATGTCTAGGTATTAATTGTAGGAATCAACAGACAGTTTTTGTTAGAATAAATCATTTTTTATAACGCTTTGCACATTTTTTTTTCTCTACCAGGGTGGATGAAAGGCCTGCGTTTTCTGTTGTTGAGCCAAGACTACGAGAGTATTACTATGACATCGCTGCACAGTGATTCTTCCCATAAATTTTATGATAATCTTCCGACTTTTGATTGACAAAAACAATTTGTCATCTATAAGCCATGAATCATGAATGTCTTATGAGTTACAAACATTGTAATATGATCTTAAACTCTGACATTTGTTCAGTATCTTAGATATTTTGGAAACTAGCTCAGGAAGCATATTGTTCATTTTACAAACTACTGTATCTTTAAAGTATATAAAGGCAGATATGATTATCAGTGAAAGAGAAAAGTAGCAGTTGTGTATGAGTGAGTGAATGAATGGGTGAATGTAGTCTTAAAGCTCATGCATAGTCAGCAAAACTAAAATATTACCAAATAATGCAATCTATGTTCCTTATGGATTATTATTATTATGCATATGCCGTGTATTTTTTTTTCATGAATGTAACACAGAAGCTTATAATAATAATATTTTTTGTGAGAAAATGTTACAGCTAACTATGTAACATAATCATTTATTTGTGCTTCCAACTGAAAGTTGTAAAATGAGTGAAAGCTATACCACAATATCATTATAGTTTTATATTAAAAAACTGCATATTACTGAGAGTCTCATCTTTTTAAACTGTTTTCATACTTACTAGTTGTGTTTCCAACCTATTTTCCTCAAAGCCCACTTCCCACCTCTCCCAAAGACACATTCAAATAAATTGAATAGTTACAAACTTTTATTTGTAAACCATGCAAAACGGTAAACCACTAAACCTTGTGCTCTCTGGTGTTCCCATCCTGAGGAGTGGGCCTCCCCAGGTTGGGAACTACTGGCCTAGGACCACACCAGACACGGAAAACTAGATGTTCTTTTTTTAAAAATATCATCCAATTTATTTACAAAAAATCACTTGATTTTTAGAACTTGTGACCTTAAGCTGGTGTCAAGCTGGTCACTTGATTTCCAGTTCTTAAGTCGTGGGACAGACTTTATGATCAAGTCATCAATGTCTGGCTTGAAATCAGGTCAGCGTAACAAACGTTAACTCAAGTTACCAACACAGAAATCTTGAGCAGAAACTGATACACAAGAGAAAATTATACACCAGCTTTAGCATGATTCATATCAATTTGTTTGGATGACAATGTTTCTAAATATCACAAAGTTTGTCAAGATATAATTTCAATTAAAGTCTGTGATTGATATGAAGCAATATCATGCTGATGGATGTATGATGATGATATAAATCAGTGTTTTAATTTTGCCTTGATGTAATTGACTCCTTAATCATTTAATTGTTATATTGATGTAAATGGATGCACTGCTATTATATAGTGGCAGATCAGGCTTTTTAAGACACCATCCATCCATCCATTATCTATACCCGCTTGTTCCTTTCAGGGTCACGGGGTCACTGGTGCCCACATCCAGTGGTCATAGTGCGAGGGGCTGGGTATACCCTGGACAGGTCGCAAGTCCATAACAGTTTTACAGTTTTTTAAGACACGATCTTGGCAAAAAACAAACAAACAAACAAACAAACAAAAATAAACTATTGATCAGAATATGTCTAAATAGTAGTTCAGAAAAAAATAAGTCCATTGTCTTTCTGTTCTAGGGTATTCCATTTCAGGACATCATAAAATTATGAAAAACGTTTACAAAATAATGCAACACATTCCACTTTGTCCTTATTTCTTAAACAATGACAAAATGGGAATGTTGTGTGTGTGGAAGAACTCAGCTTGAAACCAGAGCATGTCATTAAAGAGTACCTAAATGGACAAGGAGAATCGAACATAAACAAAAACTGTAAACACGTAATATAAAGCTGACGAGGTCACACAACAACATTTACATGACAAACCAAGACGGCATATAAAACAACTCAAAGACTGGACCATAAAAAAGGCAGTCGGACATCAGGAAGCAACAATATGACTGAAGCACAACCAGGATATACTGGAAGTACTGGGAGGGACGATGATGAGCAAATAAACTAAAATAACGTGGGATCACATTTAGCTGCAATAACTGTCAGCAGTTGTTTTCCTTATGACTCACCAGTCTCCCTTTATCAGATTGTAGAGACATTTTGACCCACTCTTCTTTACAATGTCGGTTCAGTTCAGTGAGGTGTCATTTGTTGCTTCACAGCTCTTACAAGGATTTTACTAGTTTTAGGTCTGGGTTTTGAGGCTAATGCAACACCCCAATCTATTTATTTTCCAACGATTTTTGTTGTAGATTTGCTGCTGGGTTTGGGATCATTTCTTTATTTCATGACCTGATTTCATCCAAGCTTCAGCTACACTACAACAATTGGACCTCTGAACAAGGTAGTGAGAGAAACAGTGATGCCGACGCCAGAGAAGGTGGGTCGACATAGTGCTAACTGACAACAGATTTAAACTTTCAGTGTTTTTGTTTGTTTGTTTATTCGAGCCCTGGGAGCTCCTCACTGTATACATGCAGAGGAAGAATAGACTCATCGGCAAAGAGACAGGCTAAAAGTATGCAGCAGTGCAGATACAACCATAGCAAGACAGAACTTAACACCAACCATCGCTGATGTCCCCCATCACGTACGGACAGACTGAGAGCATTTGCATGTCCCCCACCTTGGTGACGGGACAATAAGGGTCAGGTTAAGTTGAAACGTCAAACCCTAATAAGACATACCCAGACCTTTTTTGATCTCTGCAATATACAGCGGGTAAAATAAGTATTGAACACGTCACCATTTTTCTCAGTAAATATATCACTAGAGGTGCTAATGACATGAAATTTTCACCAGATGTTGGTAACAACCCAAGTGATCCATACATACAAAGAAATCAAACCATAAATGTCCAGAAA